CTTGGTTTACTTTTAGCTATTTCATAAATAACCAAAGGGAAAATAAAGTTTGCAGTGAAACCTAGAAAAGTTTGTTTTCCCACAAAGTAAATGTGTAAATCCTTCCCTTTGGCACCTTCTTCCATACCTCCTTTACTCTGCTGAGGAGATATTGAGTTCTTTTGGATTTTTGGCTGTGTGGATGGCCTTCAAACTAACTAGACTCTCTAGATGATTAGTTCTTGCACAGGGTTATCCTGTCACTAGTTCTATGACTTTTCCAACTTTGAAAATTATCTCAGCCAGTTCATGTTTCATGTGCTTTGCTCATAGAACACTTAAAGCTTTGAGAACCGCAAAACCTCCAGTGGTGCACTGCTGAAGAACATCATGAACATACTACATTTTTCACTTCTTAAAATATTATGATATATTTAGCATCAGTAATTCAACAAACTCTAGACATTATGTGGCTTTGTTTACATTCCAGCTCAACTAGGTCCCACCATAGGTCCTCCTTTTTTTTTTTTCCTAACTAAACATGTTCTATTGTTAAATATTTTATACAAATGAAAACACAACAAACCAAAACTTATAGGATGCAGGTAAAGCAGGAATAACAGGGAAATTTATATCTGTAAATGCCTACATTAAAAGAAGAAAGATCTCAACTCAATTACCTAACTTTTGCCTTAAGGAATTAAGAAAAGAAGAGGAAACTAAATCCAAAGCAAGCAGAGGAAGGAAATAATAAAGACTAGAGCACAAATAAATGAAATAGAAAATAGAAAAACAATAGAGAAAATCAACAAAACCAAAGTAAGTTATTTGAAAGATCAACAAAATTGACAAAAGTTTAGCTAGATCAAACAAGAAAAAAGAGAGAAGACTAAAATGACTAAAATCAGGGCTGAATAAGGGGGTATCACTCCCAATCATAAAGAAATAAGAAGAATTATAAGGGAATACTACAAACAATTGTATGTCAACAAATTAGATAACCTAAGTGAAGTGGATAAATTCCTAGAAAGATACAAACTACTAAAACTGACTCAAGAGGAAATAGAAAATCTGAATAGACTCATAAAAAGAGATTAAATTCATAATAAAAAACTTCTCACAAAGAAAATTCCAAGCCCAGACGACTTCACTGATGAATTCTACAAATATTTAAAGGAGAATTAACATTAATCCTTCACAAACTCTTCCAAAAAAATAGAAGAGGGAACACTTCTCAACTTATTACATGAGGCCAAAACCCAAGAAATCACAAGAAAAGAAAAATAAAAATCCCTTATTACTATAGACACAAAATTCTCAACAAGATTATAGCAAACTGAATCCAGCAACATATAAAAAGGATTATAACCAAATGGAACTTATTCTAGGAATGCAAGCTTGGTTTAACATATGAACATAAATCAATGTAATATACCATATTAGTAGAATAAAGGACAAAAGTCATATGATCATACCAACAAATACAGAAAAACATTTGACAAATCCAACATCTTTTCATAATGAAAACACTCAACGAACTATTAATAGAAGGAAACTTCCTCAACCTGATAATGGTCATTAACAAAAAACTCCTAGCCAAAATCATGCTTAATAGTAAAAGACTGAAAGCTTTCCCCCTAAGATGAGGAAAAAGACAAGTATATCTACTTTGCCACTTCGATTCAACATTTTACTGGAGATTACATCCATGGAAATTTGGCATGAAAAAAGAAATAAAAGGCATCAAAATTAGAAAGGAAGAAGTAAAACTATCTCTATTCACAGGTGACATGATTTTGTATATAGAAAATCCTAAGGAACCCACTAAAAAAAACCCCATTAGAACGAATAAATGAGTTCAGTAAGGTTTCAGGGTACAACATCAATATACAAGAATCAATCGTATTCCTATACACTCGCAATGAAGAATCTGATAATAAAATTAAGAAAATAATTCCGTTTACAATAGCTTCAAAAAGAATAAAATACATAGGAACAAATTTAGTAAAAAGTACAAAACTTGTACACTGAAAACTATAAAACATCACTGAAAGGAGTTAAGGAATATTTAAATAAATAGACATCCCATGTTCATGGATTTGAAGACTTAATGTTGATAAGATGGCAATACTTCCAAAATTCATGTACAGATTCAATGCAATCCCTAACAAAGTTTCCGGTGAGTTTTTTTTCTGCAGACATTGATAAGCTGATCCTAAGGTTCACACGGGAATACAAGGAACTCAGAATAGCTAAAATAAGCTTGAAAAGGAACAAAGTTGGAATACGCACACAGCCTGATTTCAAAACTTACTACAAAGCTATAATAATGAAGACAGTATTGTATTGGCATAGGATAGGCATATAGATCAATAGTATAGAATTGAGAGTCCAGAAATATACTATTACATTTAGGGTTAATTGATTTTCAACAAGTATGCCAAGAAAATTCAATGAGGAAAAAAATGTTTTTTTTTTTAATGAATGGTGCTGGGACAACTGCATAGACACATGCAAAAGAATGAAGTTGGATCCTTATCTCATGCCATATGAAAAATTAACTCAAAATAGATCATACACCTAAATGTAAGAGCTAAAACTATAAAGTTCTTAGAAGGAAACATAAAAGCAAACATTTGTGACTTTGAATTAGGCAATGTTAGATATGACGCTATGAAGTTAGACATGTTAGACATGAAAACAAAAGCACAAATGACAAAGGAAGAAGTAGATAAATTGGACTTCATCAAATCTAAAACTTTGATGCTTCAAAGGACACTATTAAGAAAATGGAAAGAAAACCCACAGAATGGGAAAAATACTCGCAAATCATATATACAAAAAGAGATTTGTATCCAAAATACACAAAGAACTCTTACAATCAACAATATAAAGGCAAGTAATCCAAATAAAAGTTGGGCAAAGGATCTGATATACAAATAACCAATAAATACATGAAAGATGTTCAACATGATTATTCATTACGGAAGTGCAAATCAAAACCACCAGGAAGGGGCCGGCCCCATGGCTGGGTGGTTAAGTTGGTGCACTCCACTTCAGCAGCCCAGGGTTTTGCCCAATGGGATCCTGGGCAGAGACCTAACACCACTCATCAAGCCATGCTGAGGTGGTGTCCCAGATAGCAGAAATAGAAGGACCTACAACTAGAATACACAACTATGTACTGGGGAGCTTTGGAGAGAAGAAAGGGAAAAAAAAAGATTGGCAATGGATGTTAGCTCAGGGAAAATCTCAGGGGAAAAAAACACAAAGAGAAAGAATAAATTAAAAAAGAAATCTACGAAATACCACTTTGATAACAGTAACAAGTATTGGCAAGGATATGAAGAAATTGGAACTCTCATACATTGCTGGTAGGAATGTAAAAGAATGCAATTGCTCTAGAAAATAGCCCGGCAGTTCCTCAAAATGTTAAACATAGAGTGACCATATGACCCAGCAATTCCACTTCCAGGTATATACCCAAGAGAAATGAAAACATATGTGCATACAAAAACTTGTATACAAATGCTCATAGTAGTATTATTCATAGTAGCCAAAAGGTGGAAACAACCCAAATGTTCATCAACTGATGAATGTATAAACAAAATGTGGTATATCTATACAATGAAATATTATTCAGCAATAAAAAGGAATGAAGTATGGATAAATGCTACAACATGATGACCTTTGAAAACATTATGCTAAGTGAAAGAAGCAGACACAAAAACCATTTTATGTCTTTATGATTCCATTTATATAAAATATCCAGAATAGGTAAATCCACAGAGACTGAAAGCAGATTAGTGGTTACCAGGGGCAGGGCATGGGGACATTGGGAACGTCTGCTACAGAGCTTCTTTTTGGGGTAATTAAATGTTCTAAAATGAGATAGTGGGGACAAAAGCACAACTCTGTGAGTATAGTAAAAGTAACTGAATTGCACACTTTAAAAGAGTGAATTTTAAGTATTAAATTATATCTCAATAAAACTATTATGTATAATATGTTCTATGTAACATATTATATGTATTATTATATAAATGTTATTTTATATGTTACATATATCTCACACATATAAATGAGGAAATAAAGAATATATGGACACTTCAAAGAACAATAATAAGGCATACACAAACATACATACCAGCTTAAGAAACAGAACATTACCTGTACACTAAGAACTCTCTGTAAGTTTCCCATTCATACTATTTCCATCTTCCCCCAGAGATGACCATTATCTTGAATGCTGTATTCATAACTGCCTCGTATTTCTTTCCAATTTTATGGAGGAAATTAAATGTATTTATTAAATTTACTATAAAAGATAAATTTATTATTTCATTGTACGAATATATAACAATGTATATTCATTTTCTGATCAATGGACATTTATGTTGTTGCCATTTTTTACTCTTATGAATAATGCTCCTATGAACATTTTGATATATGACTCCCAGGACACACATGTAAAAAATTCTTCAAATTTTATACCCAGAAGCAAAGTTGCAATGTTCAACTTTACTAGATATTGTCAAACTTTTTTCCAAAGTGATTGCACCATTTATACACCCACGGGCAGTGCATAAATTGCCCTGTCTTTGGGAGAAAAAAAAGTATGGAAGTGAAATCAAATGAAAATAGAATCAGTAGTAGCTATAATTAGGACTGAGGGGTAGGAGAGTAGCAACAAGGTTACAAAAACATCTCAAGGTGAGCGTGGAAGCAGCTCCAGCAGGAGGTGTCCTTTCATCTTAAATTGCCTACCTCTGCCTGGTGAGAGTGCAGGGCTATTTTTTCCTGGCTTTTGCTGTGGTATTTGTGGTGTTGGCATTTAGCTTTACCTCCTAAACCTGCACAGTAAAAATTTTATAGGCATTTAAGAATAAAATGTTGAGAAGATTGAAGAAAAGAGCTGAGAGCAAAGTAGCCACTGTGAAGGCTAGTAAGATGCCCCACAGTGACAGACTGAGAGTTGTTTCAATTCCACAAGGCATCCCTCCTCATGCACAAATATTTACCTTTCCACGCTGGTACCATCAGAGGTATCAAGTCTGTGTAGCTAACAGGTCCTTTGATGTATTGTCCGCTGGAAGATGTGATGTCGTATCAGTTCCCAAGCTGTAAGAGATCCCAGAAGACAGTGAAATGAAGGGAAGTCCAGCCAATTACTTGCAACTTTAGGATGCATTCTGCAGGCTGTACTTAAGTTGTAGCAGGAATTTCTAAACATTTCGTGATGGTATAAGACACATCATAGTCTTTTTTGTGGTGGTGTGGACCACCTTACACTAAAGAGTAAGACCAAGCATTCAGTACTAATGACATTATTTATTCAAAACAAAAGCAATTTTTCTGCCTATAGAATTGGTGCATATCATTGTGGATCATTTTTAAAGTATCTGCTCAGCCTGGAAGCCGATGACTCCCCCCTTTCTCTAGGAAATGACCCTCTGACCCCCATTTCCACTCCATTTACAGGGACTGCCCCTCAGGAACCAGTTTATACCCTATGATCCAGCCCCCACAGTTATTGTTCATTGGACCAGGGGTAGACAACAGACTCAAGCTGGGCCAAACAGATTTTCTTTCCCAGGCAGTTGGAAATGGGACTGAGAGCGCTCAATCAGCCTCGGCGGATGGCTATAAATATTATATAAACTTGCGAATCCTGGGATGGCCATATTCTGCTCTGTATCCTAAATAACTGGGGAAATCCTATCTGTAGAGTCACCTCACCCTTGGTCAGCACTCTTCTTGGATTATAGTACCCAATATCCTGCCTCATTATGTCCATATATACTGTTGCTTCTAAAAATTTTTTCTTTGGCCCTGACCTTCAGATTTGTACATCTTCCTCTACTTGTTGCAATGCTCTTTCCTTTGCTCTTTACAAGGCTGGTTCCTTCTCATCTTTCAGTCTCTCACCATCTTTTCATCTGCCAAGAGCACTTTCTCTGATCTTCATAACTAAGGCGAGCACTTCCTCAGTTATACCCTGTCATGTTGCCCTGTTTATTTCCTTTGTCACATTTACCACGCTCAGAAACTGCCTTCCTTTATTTACACTTGCTTATTGTCTGTCTTCTCTTACTAAAATACAGGGATTTTGAAGGCAGAAAATCGGTTTATCTTGTTTACCTCTATTTCCTAGCACCCAGACAGCTCCTAGAATATAGTAGGCACCTAATAAAAATATATTAAATAAATGAATAGATGAGTAAATAAACAAATCAAGAGAGAGAATGACACTGAGCAGCTGAAATGATTCAAAAAGTCCTGAATGCTTTCTGCTCTTGATTTGAGTCGTTTCCAAGGCCTATCTCTGCTCCTGCCCTTAGGTTTTCTAAGAGTCCTGTGTCCAGTACAACAAACTCCCCTTTTTCGCCGAAGCTAGCTTGACTTGTTAACTGAAGAAGCTTGTTCACAAGCTTATTCTGAACAAACAGAAAAATAAAAAGAAGCAAATAAAAAGCATGATAGAGAAATTCTATCACTGGGAGAGAATATTAACATTTTGTCGATCTACTTTGCAGACAATTTAACATGAATTGGGTCATTCATATTCTGTTCTGTAATGTTTCATTTTTTTTTAACTACAATAAGTGGAGAACATCTTTCCAATGACATTATTTTAAACAGATCTGTACAGAATTCATAGCATGCTTATTTTAAGGAAGCTGAACAATCACCCAAAAATTGATGTGCTTTCACATGTTAGACAATAGTCCTAGGATTAGAACAGAATGGAAGCAACCAAGCAAACCATTCTGTTTTAAAGTAAATCTCACATTTAAGGTGGCTTTTGCAGGTTTGCTAAGTTACCCTGTCTTTCCAGCCTCCTACTGTAGAGAAGTAACGTGAAGGGAAAGGAGAGGTGACTGCATCACAGGCCTCATTCTCTGGACCTGAAGGCATTTGTAACAGTGGAGCTGTAGTGGAAGAAGAAATGCTGTGGGTCTTTAATATCTTAGCCAAGAGAAGATTGTTCTGGTTGATGACCATTCCAAAACACACCACCAAAGCTGTACAGCACTGTGGAGCAACTGAAAAGTACTACTAAAACCGAAGTCAAAGAAGCTCTGAGAATGAAATGGCCGTTATCAGAATGCCAGAAAAGAAAACCCAGGAGAAACTGTCAGTCAAGGTGTGACGAAGGAACATCCAAAATCCAATGTAGTGGCCAGACTTAATCTCTCAGGACAAAAGGAGTGGAGAGCAGATATAAGTAAGAAGAATTTATCAGTTGTTTTGAACTCAATGGAATGAAAGACTGAAAGAATTCCATTGCAGTGATATTAAGAATTGCAGTGCTCTGGGGCAAGGGTAGGTGAATGAGGGTGAAAAATAACCGTTTAGTAGTGATAGATGCACAAATCCAGCTTGATGACACCAGCAATTAAAATCATACAGCCAGCTCCCCTAACTCTGATTTTATACTCACCTCTGATTAAATTTGGAGAGGATGAACTGTAAATAGTGACCATGGTCAAGAGCCTGGGAATAAGAAGGACATGGATTCACATCCTTCCTTTGCTATGTGCCCATGCACAAGTTACTTAACCACTCTGCTTAGTTTCCTTATCTATAAAATAGGGATGAGATAATCACCTCATATGGTTATGATGAGAATCAATTGAGATAATGCCTATAAAAAGCTTAGCATAATGCTTGGCACCTGGTACAGGCTCTATATTAGCTAAAAGCTAGCTGTTTTTGTTCTTTCCACTGAACTAGACTTTAGCCAATTGATAATTCTAAATTGTATTTATCAGTATAAGTTAATGATTTATATTATGATATATTTAATTTTCTTATGTGTTGGCTAACATGAGTCAGTTCTCTACAGTGTTTATACATCATAGAGAAGCTCCTTTAAGGATTTCTTTGTATATATAGTGCTTAACACAGTGTCTGGTATCTGCAAATGTATAATAATTTTTCTGAAGATGTATTATTACCACACTGGATTGTGGCAGAAATTGTTTTCCTTCTTAGAATTGCTTTTAATGATTTTTGTAAAGTTTTGCATTAATTCTCTCCCAACCCCCAAGAATACAATGAAGTGAGAGCCATAACGCTGTCACTGATTTGAATAGGAGACAGCAGGAAGCAGAAAATTTCGAAAATCAGGTGAAAAATCTGCTCAAAGGAATGTCAGTAGCATTCCAGTAGAGCATTGGAGATGATGCTGCAAAAATATTTCCATCTTCTAAAAATTCACAGATTAAGTGGGCCCGTGTGACAAAATAAAGAAGTGTGGTTTTAACTACTTCGAATTTAATATGGATTGGGATTTCAAGTCTTCCCACTATATAAGGAACCAACTTTAACAGACCCAATAAATAGCCAAATCCCTAAAAGGGGGGCTGCAGTTGGGCTCCTTTGAGTTGAAGGTCTGGGGGATGGAAGGGACATTGTAAATGGAGTCTTGGAGAAAACAGTTTTACAGTGAGTGAGAGAACTCAGGAGGAGCTGATCATATGTAAGAAAATAGAAGCAAATGAGATGTAAGCATTGAGAAAGAAACTCAGATCAGAGATAAACAGAAGCCGTGGAGAAAGTGTAGGCTCTGTAATTGTAGCATCGGTTGCATGAATGCTCAGAAAAGATGATAGGAACTCCTGGAATTCAGAGTGAACTTAACTGGACAAATATTACTGCGTGTCCGTTTTCTTCTCCCTACAAGGAGAAGAAAAATAGAGCCCTTGCTCTTAGGAAGTGAATAATTAAGAGGAGAAATGAGAAAAGCACACTCTTAACTGTAAAATATAAAAAGTCAATCACAAAAGAATGAAGCAAATTGAGAGTGTAAAGGAAGACTGAAATTCACATCTACTTGACGAATCAGATAAAGCCTTATGAAGGGAGGGTTGCTGGAGTCTGGGAGGGATTTAGCAGGTGGAGATACAGCGTGTTCTGAACAGAGAGGACAGTTTGAATAGAGTCAGAGATGAGCAAAGAGCAGAGTGGTCTTGGACAGTAGCAGGTAGGGATGATGAGTTTGAGAAAGAGAGTTGTGGGAATTTAAGTGAAAGGAAGGATATTTTGGAAGATCTTCCATATAGGTTAGGAGAGTTTTATTCATTCTGCAGACAATGGGCAACAATTACACATTTTGAGCACAAGAGCAATAGAGTTAGAGCTGTGAAAGACCTTTAGGAAGATTCATTTGGGATTAGTGGGTTAGAGATCCTGGCAGAGAGAAGGAGTGTTAGGATATTGTAAGGTTCAGGCAATTGGCCTTGAACTAGGAAGGATAGTGGCAAGGGAATGGAAGAGTGGGATTGATCATGAAGACACTGAAGAAGAAGAATCGAAAGACTTGCCAAGTAGTTGGATGTGGGATGCAGTTAAGAGGGAGACAGGATTAAAGATGACCTAGTGATATTGTGCCTGGATGCCTGGGAGACTGGTAGTATAATATAAAATAAATAAAATGACTTCACTCTTCTCAAAAACACCCCAGGGAAAGAAATGAGAGACTATAAATATGTATTAGATATAAACTTACAGTTCTTGCTTCCTCCAAATTGCTCTAATTCTTTTCTCTGACTGTTCTGATGTCCTCTAGTCCTCTAGAATCCTCTTGTCCTCTTGGTTTGTTAAGAGAGGAGTTAATACAGCTCTGTTTAGCTCTTAAGATATTAACTCTTTGTGGATCAGAGCTGGAAGGCTGTGCTTTTTCTCTATGCATGTTTTAGTTGAAGAAAGAGCAGCTAAAAGATTCCTTAACATAGCAATTTCTCAACTAAAACTAAAGCTGAAAACATATTTATTTGATTTGAGATTAATAGAAACTTGTTGGTATTGGGAGAATGATCTTTAAATCTCTTACTGAAGGGCAACAACAGTGGTAGATTCTCTGGATCCCTGAGATCTCTCTGAAGAGAACAAACTCTGCTCCATCGGGAGGATCAACGTGCCTGCTCAATCCATATGTGCCAGAACCCTCTCAAGTAAAAGAATGTATATCTCCCATTTCAGTGTGACCACAGTTTCCAATGAAACACTGGGATGTAATTACGCAACAACAGAACTTGACATTTGAAAATTAGATATTCTTAAAAATTCTGCATGGCTGAAGAATCCTAAAATTCATATGGGGCAACAAAAGACCCC